ACGTGCGCCGTTCAGTTTAGATTCATGAAAATTTACAAATATGCACTGTTCGAGTGTTGTCATTGTGTTAGAGAAAGTAAATGTCATGAATAAATTTGACATTAATCATAATCCAAGTTGAAGTGTTACATCATTTTAGCCCCCTTTTTTGACATCTGCATTTGGTGGCAGACCAAACTGACTAAGACAGAATAATGTAGTATTTTAATTCAACAGCAGAGAAAGCTGTGTAGTCTCTGTAAGTAGGTCTAGGGATAAAAATATCGCTATTGGTATCGGTTAGTGGCCAAGTAAGTTTTAACATATTGGTATAATGGATATCGGCCAAAAATCCAATATCGTGCATCCCTAATAAAAACATTAGATGGAGGCAGGTTTGAATGTGCCAAAGCAGAGAGATCTACAGGGAATATTTCATCTGTGCTTCTATACTTTGTATTGATGCAGTGTTTTCTTTAGCCAAATCACACTGTTGGCTGGTCCACTTAATGCCTGCCCTAAAGAAACAATCAGCCAATCAGAAACTATAGTTTGTCTGTAAAAACTCTACCGTCAATAAATGAATCTGGGTTAGCTTTTCTCCAAATGAGAAGAAATCCCCTCAGATCACACGGAGTGCCGAGCATCCCTCATCCTTTCCCACCTGTTGCTCCGAGCTACCGTTCAGCTGTGAAATCGTGGTACGACATTTCTGCCATATTGCCTACCCTTACGTCGACGTTAATATTTGTAGACGACACGTGCATTTTCTGATCTGATCTTTTCATTTTTAAATAAGCCAGACATGGGACAGGGAACTTTCTGTGAACTTCTGGTGCCGGTTGGGTCAGGAAGGGTGTCCCACGCACCCACTTTGAATGTTATCACCCATTGAATGGTCCGTTATTAGTTGTTATCATTCCCATAGGTTAGTTGGCCCCTCCTGTACCTCCTAGTAGGTTTAAAGTTACATTGTTAGCGCTGATAATACGGTCACGTGGTTAGGTTAAGTGTAAAGCGTCTGGGGGTTGGGTTAAGGTTCAAGGGTAAGGGGGTTAAGTTTAGGGTCAGTGCTGAGGGTCAGGTGTAAGGTTAGGCTTAGGAAAAGGATTAAATAAAGCTAACAACAAATAAAACTTCCGGTTTTACACATGTACAAAGCTGCATATTATCCGTGATAATACCTTTAAAACTAGGAGGTAGGAGGGACAGTCTGAAGGCAACCTATGGGGATGATAAACAACTAATAACGTGCATTTTAAAGTCAAAAAGCTCTAAAAGATTTGCGAGTACTTCAAGCTAGCTGACTAAAAAACAGTTCTTTGGAACATGTGAGTGAAGCGTTATATGAGCTGACACATGATGTCTGTGTCATGTAATCTGTTTCAAGATCATTGTGTTTTATTGTGAAGGTTGAGGTTGTTTGCTACTCGTAAATTTAAGGGTATTACGGTTTCTTGCAGATAAAAATGTTTTTTTTTTTTAGACGAATCGTATGACCCATCGCTAGTTTTAGGTGGTGCAGCAGGCTACGGTCAGAGGCTGTGTCTCAATCCAGCAGCCGCATCCTTCGAAGGATGCGGCTGCTGGATTGAGACAAACCCATTGGCTCCTGATACGCACAAGGCCCACCCCGGAGGGTTCCTGGAATCTTATCAGAGTTTGAGCGAATCAAGAGCCTCAGAAAAAATATTTTCACTGCACCACAACTTCCTCAGATTCCTGTAATCTGAGGAACGGGCAACCTGTAATTGTAGAACTCTTGTTTTGACTTTATTTCTTTAACAGTACCGGACTTTCCACCGTACATGTTGCACCGCCGTATAAGTCGCATTAGTCTAAATATGTAAAAAAAAAATGGGGAAAAAATTAATAAATACGTTGCTTCGCCGTATAAATTGCAACTATTATGCGTCACCGCTGACGCGTCGCATTTGTTACGTGTCATCGCTGACAACCCAGAAACGTGGGCCGGCGTTGTGCCAAAAATCGATTGGCTGCCAAATGGCGGCCGCGGGAGCGTGCACGGGAGGACTTTAACAAGAATTTAACCAGATTAACACTTAAAAACAATTGTTTGTTTGCTCAAAATGATAGCAAAGGTGTGTCTCAGTTGAACTTTTCCTTATTAAATGCACTTTATGGTCAAATCAGCTGCATTTCGCCTGTGCGGCAAAATGCAGCTGATTTGACGTTTGCTCCAGGAGTTCCTGAGCGAGACGAAGGTGGCTCGGTATGGCAAGCCAAGTGTGTCATTAATAGCCACTTTTACATATTAATGAGACACTTGGCTTGCCATATTACTCGAGGGTCCTCTAGTGGCTGAAAATGGTAGTGTTCAATATTGTCCATGTCAGAATGAATGAAATCGTCAGATCTCAGCTAAAAATTGAGTTATAAATATGTGGAAAAAACAAATATGTCGCTTCGGTGTATAAGTTGCAGGACTTGCAAATTTATGCAAAAAAGTGCGACTTGTATGGCGAAAAATACTGTGTTCTCTTTAGTTCTTTTGTATAATAAAAGCCACAAAGACTTGTTTAATCCTTGAGTCCACCATTATCTCAAAGGAATCCACAAGAAACGTTACGCGAGGTTTCTTGGGCTTACTAAATCTGAAAACAAGACTCACAGAACGACTGATGAAGAAGAAAGTGTGACAGAAGTCTTCTGTCTGATGTAGAAGGATAAAGGAGCAGAGTAGGAGAGGGCGACCCGTGACCCGTTTCCCCACCAGCTTTGCTATATTTCCTTTTTAACCTTTACTGATTTAAGCTACGATAATTTAAATGAAATGCTAAAAGAAAAAACTTGATCTTTTTGTTTGTTTTAGAAAGAAAAATGTACCCGGATGGCAGGAAAGCTAGAATATTTAGGTGGTAAAACTGATCACAACACCTGACTTATTGCGCCTGTTTTTTTTTGTTTAGATATTGTTAATGGCTAAATAAATAACATTTATATTACAGTTTATAGCTAACAACATGCAGTTAATACATACAAATCATACAGTTTGTGATCTGAATAGCATGAGTTATGTTTAAAGAACATTTGGTAAAGTTAAATTCTTCATTTGGGCGGCTGTGGCTGAGCGGTTAGAGCAGTTGTCCTCCAATGCAAGAGTTGTGGGTTCGATTCCACCAGCAGTCACAAGCCGAAGTGTCCCTGGGCAAGGCATTAAACCCCTCACTGCTTCCGATGTATCGGTGTATGAATGTGATCTAAAGCACTGATTAGTCTTTGTAGAGATCTAGTATAGAGCTGTATGAATGGGTAAATGATTCACAGACTGTTGTAAAGAGCTTTAAGTGTCTTGATAAGATAGAAAGGCGTTACATAAGTACAGTCCATTTACCGTTCATTTTTATATTTTAAATACTTGTGCTGTGTTCGTTTCTCTCCTAAAGCCATGTGACTGAATTCCTCCAAAAGGGCTTCACACCAGTTTGCTGTGGTTTTTACCCATATACGCTTACAGCATGCTGAACTGTCAGGCTTAATGAATAAATAATCATAGCTTTATTTGTCAAGTTGTAATTAGGCCTGTCACAATAAACAATAAATCAATTAATCGCATGATAAATGAAAATTATCCACCTCATTTTCATTGATCGGCTTTATCGTTTCTTTTCTTCTTTCTTCGCTAAAAGCAGCTAAGCTACGAGCTAAGCTAACAGGCCGACCTTGGGAAAAAACCTCCGTCTTGTCGAAGCTCCAAAAATCACGGTTAGCCTTCGTCTAAAAAGTTGTTTTTCTCTGCAAAAAGAAGCTGAGAACTTGTTTACTGATTTTTTTTATTAAAAGCTTTGAGTGAAAAATGCTAAAGAGCTCGAATCACACCGAGCGTCCGCCACTTTGAGAACTGAAGAAAGGAAGGAGAGACAGCCCATGTCACGTCAACAGGCTTCCCTCCCATTTTTTCTTAAAAGAGACACACTGCTCGCTCCCTCACTATCCATCCTTCAGTTCAAACAGTCTTATACTGCCATCTGGTGGTAAAAAAAAAGGTACTACAAATAAAATAAATTAACCAACATTTCTTAAATTTTACAATAATTATAATATTACAATAATATTGTTTATCACAATAATTTCTGAGACAATTAATCGCCCAGCAAAATTTGTTATCGTGACAGGCCTAGTTGTAATTGGCACTTTAATATTTTGTACTCTAATGTCACGTCCACGTTTAATTTAGTTGTATACTGTAAAAGTCATAGTTAAAATTTAAAAAGTTGAGATGAATTAAAAATGAAAACAGTAGCAGCATCCCTGAAAGTGTTGTAGCTGAACCTCCAAACCTTTGGCTCGTAATTATGAGAAAATAAGCTCCTTCCTTCTTCCTGCCGCTCCTCTTCAGATAATTTGGGCTAAACACAGAATATGATGATTCAATTTGAAATCGACCAACAGCAACAATCTGGGAACAAGTCCCACTACGCGGCAGAGCACGAGCGCCCGAATTACAAGCCATTGATTTCCAGTAGGATGTCTTTGCTCTGCATGTAACGACAAGATGGCCATAAAACACGAGGAAACAGATTGGGAGAAAAGAGCTGAGATGCAGGATGGCTTTCACCTGCAGTTTACATCAAACAGAAAGAAAGAGCTTCGCATGGCTGCCTGCTCAATTAACCCCAGTGATGGAGGCTCCATAATGAACAACAGCTCCATTACGCAGCATCCGAATGGCGCTTCACCCCGCCGGCCCGGGAACAGACAATGCAGCTGTTGGTGCTTCTCTGCTGCGACGAGAGGCGAGCACTCGCTAACCGAGGAATTTAGATGTTGGGGATATCAGCATGTTCGGAAAGTAAACGAGCGCGAGGTGATTACTAGAGCTGATGTTGTTTAACCCTTAAATAATTAAGAAGCTTCACACATCTGTTCCTGGAACTGTGTCAACAAGTCGAGGGTGAAGCTTCCACTACAACGAAAAAGTAACTTCCTTCAAACTGAGGCGACACTTGGTCCAGAAATCAACAAGTTTAAACAAGCATTTTGCTCATGGTGACGCTGACCTTGCTAATGATGTAGACGAGATCTCCCCTCTTAAAGTCCAGCTCGTCTGGCTCATCAGCCTGGCAGTCCCATAAACCCTGGTAGTAGTTGGCATATTCTGACGAGAAGGCTGAAAGGAAAAACGGTGCCGATCAAATCAAACCCACTGAGGCAAAGGGCTCGTCTCACACTCTGCACAACGCTTCTTCTGTCCGACCAGAACGTGCACAGAAACATCTGCAAGCTTCGAACCTGGCTTGTTGTCCGCGACACCGTCATCCGCTTGTTCTGAACGCTCCTCGTCTGAACAAGAGACAAAAGAGCATTTATCAGAACTTAAACATTAAAACTTTGTCATGTGACAGAAATAAATCACTAACGCTTTTTTTAAAACAACACTAAAAGACTACTAAAATTTACTTTTATTCTGTTTTCAAGTAATTGCAACAAGAGAAATTGCATTTCCTGCTAAAATGCAGTGTGAGTGTTGCAGAAGAACTTGCTAATAAACAGCTGAAATTAGCTAAAACAATGCTGAAATGCAGCTGAAATGAAAGAACAAGTCTAAATTAGCAAGAGAAAGCAGAAAGAACTCATATTTGCTGGATTAAGTTTAAATAGGCAGAAATGAGCACCAAAATTAGGAAATCAGCTAAAAAATAGCTGAAATTAGCAACAAAAAACAGCTGAAAAGTAGCTGAAAAAGCAGAAAGAAGCTTAAGTTACGAGAAGGAAATGAAGAGGGCACATGTTTGCTAAATTATAAAGAAAAAAGTTTAAATGAGGACAAAAAAATGTGGAATTAGCTAAAAAAGATCTAATTAGCATAAACTCTTCTAAATAGTGACTGAAATAACTGAAACTAGCAGAATTAGGCTGAATGGAGTGTAACAAGCTGAAATTTGCAGAAATAAGTTAAAAAGGCTGAAAGTAGAAGAAATAACCAACTGAACACAGCTGAAATAAGCTTAAAAATGCTAAAAAAAAAAAAAAACTAGCTAAAACGGTAGAACAAGCTTAAATTAGCAGAAGAAAGCAGAAATAACACATATTTACCTAATTAGGCTGAAAGAAGCAGAAATATGCACAAAAAGTGGAAATTATCTGAAAAACGCTTAAATTTGCAAAAATAAATAAATAAATAAAAACAGCTGAAAAGTAGCTACAAAGCAGAAAGAAGCTTAATTTACCAGAAGGAAGTGAAGAGAGCTCATTTTTGCTGAATTAGGTTGAAAAAAGTTGAAATGAGTACAAAAAATGTGGAATTAGCTGAAAATGCTAAAGTTAACATAGTGTATACATAGTAGCTGAAATAGTAGAAAAAGCTGAAACTTGCAGAAATCAGCAGAAAGGAGCATAACAAGCTGAAATTATCAAATAGAAATTAGAAGAAGCACAAAAATGTTGTAGTTAGCAGAAAGAATCTGAAAGAACAAAACAGCTGAAAAAACAGCTGAAACGAGCTGAAAGTAGATGAAAAAAATGTTTAAATTTGCAGCAGGAAGCTGAAAGAAGCTGAACCGGGTCAAAATGTGAAAGGAGCAGTAAAAGGTTGTGAACAGAGCTAAACATTTGAAGGATGTAAAATGAGCTCAGTTCAGTTTCTATGAGAAGAAAAATGTCAGAAAAGGCTAAATATTTTAAAAAGCTAAAGTTGCACCAATACCAAAAGTCATAGCAGGACTGTCCTGAAAGAGCCGAACGTTTTGATTCATGATTTGTTGAAACAGCTGAAAACTGGGGGATAATAATCGTGCCCAAAAACAAAAGAAAAATGGATCACAATTATTATTATTGATTTTATTGTTCATTTTAATGTGAACACGAGTACATTTCTCTGAAAATGGCATCGTATTTTCACAACAAAATAAAGGTCTATCCTTAAGAGCATGTGCTGTGAATGACTCTCAGCTACTACCACACCAAATCTACCTCAATATCTGCAAAACTATTGAAGTTATAGCCATTTTTGTTTTCCATGCTTACATCACTTTTTCGTTAAAATCTGTTCAGAGGTTTATGAGATATTTTGCTAACAGACAAGGCTGTGTTGGTTGTTATTCAAACAAAGATCTTGTTCAGTTTGTTTGTGCTCAGTAAATGTGTTGGGGATCAGTCTCAGCTGCTGTCACACCAAACTTCGGCTCGCGGTCTGTAAAACTGACTGTTACGGCCATTTTTGAGTTTTCTGAGGTCGGCTGGCTCTGAATGTCCGTCGGTTGAAGACGTGCAGCATAAAATTTGTATTCGTCCAGTAATTCATGAGATACGTTGCTAACAGACTCCACACAAGCATATACACCAAAAGTTATTTACTGTAAACACATTTAGAAACCAAACTAAATATTTGTTATAACATCCACTACAAGACTGAGGGCTGAATGTGACTTTTCTTTTAGGTTCACCAAGCTGTCTTAAACTACCAGTTATAATCATGACGATCAAGACTCGATCACATTTACCTGAAATATTTAAAAGACAAACAAAAGAGTAAACAAAAAGAAGCCTGCATCAATTCTTAAACGGGTTTTCACACGAAACGGCTTTTAAATGGACCGAGCTCCTCAACAAGGACTGGTTTGTTCACATCCACCACTAAATAAGTCGTCTTCTAGTGAAGCTGAGGCGGACGGGTCATTGACCGAGGGGCGTGGCAGGCGGTGGTCCGATACGCCTGCCTCCGACTCCCACATCCATCCTGAGCAGAAGCAGGCCGACAGCGATGCCGCCACGCAGCAACACTATCCACCTTCCAGCACAACCTGCGCCTCGCCTTCCAGGAAGAGCAGCGCACACACACAGACACACACATGCTCGCAACCACGCACGCACACACACACTGCGTCCTGCTCACGTTTGTGTTTGAAAGTCACCATTTGTCTTTTCCAAACAGAAAATCACAACTTTCCTGATCAAAAACTGCTCGTTACACAAAAAGAGGGATTTTAATTTTGTTTGCAGAGGGTCTAACCATTAGTTCAGTTCTCGTCAGCGGCTGTGAAGAGGAGCGTCGCTCCATCGAGGGGCCGATGGCTTCTGTATCAAAGTGATTCAATTTTCCAGTCAATAAAATCAGTCATCAGCACTAAAGCCAAGGCCGCCATCGCCCTGCAATCTGCCCGCAACTGAGCCATGATGCTCCAAAAAAACTGATGGGTCTCATCAACTAAACACTGATGCTGCTGCGAGGGAGGCAGTTTTACTAAATATTAATATTCCTACATATTCAAGGGAAAAATGGTATTTTAGATATTTCTGGGTTCTTTGAATTAAAAAAAGCTAAATATGTCTTATGCATCAAAGGAATGCATATCCCCCTCCACCTTTCATGCCAGAACTTTAAAGTAAGAGGTAATGGGCACGATAAAAGTCAATGACAAAAAAAAAAAAAAACTAACTGCGCAGACACAGGCAAAAACATTATCGCTCCACCTTTGGCGGCGGGCGATGCTCATCCCAGACAGTAAGGCTTTTCTTCTCCTCCTCCAATCTTGATTAGTGGAAATCTGAATAATTTAACAGCCAATAATCACTGTGTAAAAGCTGTTGGTGAGCACGGAGAGGTGCGGGATGATGGATAAGCGACGGGGTGAGAAAGTGAACGCAAGAGCTCGTCATTCGATACGCCATCTGTGGTCGGGGTCTGTACCTCTTCCCAGATGGCTCGGAACGGCGAGCGTGACACTTTGAAGACTGATTTCCCTTTCACCGGCGATTTTGGCAAAGGTAATGTACTCAGTGAGTGAAACAGAATCTTGATGTATTCCATTTAATAGAAACAGTGATGGACGACGGCCCTGAGAAGATCGGATCGCCTCTTTTGTCCTTCCTGGGATCTCGTAGCCGCCTCCACACACACACAGGAGTGTATCCCCCCTTCAGAAGAAGTCACACTTTCTATTAAATGTGCGACATTAAGGGATCGAGAATGACTTTGGGTCATGAGATGCAGTTTTTACTTTCTTTCAGCTGTTGCTAGGCAATTTTAGCCAAAACTCATCTTAGTGGATTGAACCGTGAGCCATTTGTTGCCAGGCAACATTAGCTAATTGGACATTCTATGACGGAGCATTTCAAAGCTCGCTGTGATTTCAGCAATGCTCCGAGACAAAGAGGGAGAGCGGCACACGAAGGTTTCAGGTGTTTTCCTGTGAGCTGACAGGTCGATCAGCCTCGAGCAGCACTGGTTTTGCCTGTTTGTGTGCGTTTGTCTGTTCTGTTACCCAAATAGCTCATAAACCCCTGAAAGGATTTTAATGAAAGTAATCATCAGGTGAAGTTTACAGATACTGAGATAAACTCTGTTTAAAAAGGCGGCGAGTGAAATCGCGTGGGATCAGCCTGGATGTCGTTTCCACTGCAACATCCTCTTACCTGGCAGCTCCTCGTAGATATCATCCCCATCTTCTTCAGCCTCCAGTGCCTCATGTCCTCCTCCTCCTCCCCTACTGATCTGGGAGGCCTTGGGCAACATTGGCAGGGTAGAGGTGACCAACCCTTCAATGTCATCGTAGGTTTCCTCATCCTCCTCATCGTCAACGGGGATGAAGTTGGAGCTGAGATCTATGAGGCAAGGCGAGGACATGGGTAAAGGTGAAGCTGCAGCTCAGCGTGTTACAAAAGACACAGATGTGCGTTAAAGGCTGAAGTAATCTAAACGCCTCTGAACAGGCAGTAAAAAGCACAAAAATACTCAATTTAAGACCAAAAAAAAGCTGTTTGCATAAAATAAACTTGTGAAAACGATAAAAAGAAGACATTATTATTTCTAGTTTGCTCTTTTAAATCCAAAAAACACATTATTTTAAAATATATGGAAAAGAGAAGCAGGAAATAGTCATATCTGAAAAGTAAAATGATGCTCAACGCCTTTTAACCTCGTTTTATTAACTCTTGACAATCTTTAAAGTATTCATTGCAAACTATAAAGAAAGGTTATTTTGAATTTATCAAGTGGTGCATGCTGAAAGTGTTTACTCCAGCAGTTTTCCAGATATGATGGATGCAATTGTGAAATGCAGGTCTGCAATAAACGTAAACAAAGTGACCACTCTTTAAGACCGCGATTAGTTCCTTTAATCTTGGATCCAGCTCTTGGTTTAATCCAAATAACCGTCTTGTAAGTTTAGGACTTTATAACTGCATAATTCTTTTTTCTTCTCCATCCTCACAACAAAAACAAAAAGACTTGGCGGAATTAAAACACGCCAAATCAAAACAAGTCAGCTCTGCTTTCTGCTATCGTAAATAATCATCCGTTCACATGACATTGGGTTATGGGTTTTGGAGCAAACGCCGTGTTCGGAGAACGTAAGACAAACTGCAGAGTGTCCGTTTCTTCCCGCAAAGCGGTGGCCCGGCCCGAGCTCGTTTTAGAGGACGAGACTCAAACGCTCACAGATGGAGGAGCTGTCTGATTGCATGCAACTGGCCACTGCAACACGGGGTATCAGGTCCTCGGCTGTCCAGCAGCAGCCAAGCAGAAATCGATGTCACTGGAGGATAAAGCAGAACATCTACCAATCAATTTCCTGTAAGCTGGAATCTGGTGGGAGGGCTGCGGGAGGAGGAGCTGCAGGAAAACTGGGGCGACGTGACGATTCCCCTCACATGGTGGGCGACACTCCGAGCGAGGAGATCCAGGACCCGTGTGCTCGGTCGTGTAGTTAGCGATGATAAAAAGCTCCCGCGCACTTTTGACCTTTTTCCACCACAACAACATGTAGGGGAGAAATGGGACACGTAGGTTTATCCTGGCTTCCTATAGTCTCACATCAGCATCAGTTTCATTACTATTTTTATATATTTATACGTTTAAAGGCGTCTAATCAAAGCAGATTATGTTTCTGAAGCGATCTCGTGATGCAGCTGCAGAAAAACTCATTAAAAAAGCAGAAAGAGACGGAGGCTTACCTCTGAGAACAAAATTAATTTGGTCCACCCATTCTCGGGCCTCTTGAGGGCTGCTGGCTGTGAACTGCAGAGATGGGAAATAATGACATTATTTCACACCTAGAAATTTTATTATTCCCTCTGAATTGTTCAGATCGCTAAATATTATTGTAAGAAAGCAATTAAGGTGAAAATCTCCTTTTTAAAACAGCCTTAAAATTAAAATAATTATATATATTTAATTTAAACTCAAGGTTTAATAGATTGAAATGGCTGGAAAAACTAAAATCCAAACATATTTTGATTTAAAGTTTACCAATTTCAGATTTAAACGACAAATGATAATAAAATGCTTTTATTTATTCATCTCCAGTGCAAACAGAAAAACTATTTAAACATGCTAATAAGTATCTTTAAGAATCTCTAATTAAATTAGCAATTGTAAGACGAGTAAAATATCAAACCGTGAATAAAAATAAATAAAAATAAAATCCTTATCACGGCAAAGTTGATATATAACTTTATGTACATTTCTTTTACTAACCCCCAAGAAATAATATTATAGAGGCTTAAATGTGAGCAAACATCCAAAATCCTTTTTGTACTGCTGTTGTAGGAGAAACATCTAAAAGGAGTAAAAATAAACTTAAATGTAAGGCTCTTCAATTTTATCAGACGACTAACTACAAATAATTTATTTTCCATTTTTGTTTGTTTTTATTCCACTTCTACAGTATGAGCCTCCTATAATAAATCATTGTAAACATTATTAAAGACTAAAACTTTATAAGCGGCTAATTTTAAAATAAATAAAACGTCGTCAGCAGAAGGAGAGAGCGACGAGTCAACTCTGAAACGGTTATAAACGATATAAACATTTAACATTGTTGGTTTCATCCAGCTGTTTTCAGATGATGGTGCAGATGTGATCAGTTATCTCAGATAAATGCGGCTCCGGGATCAATCGTTACGAGGCTTCTAACGGCACACCAATCGTGAAATAACGGTCTCAAATATAAAATAAAGAAGCCGCATAAAGATTTGTTGATCCGATGGATTATTTTATTATTTTCTATTGAACAATGATGTGTTTTTTTAAACTTCTGTTCCATATTGTGTTTAATTAGCCGTTCATTTTTCCAAGACAGACCTGGAAGGTGCGTCGCCCGGGAGCGGTGAACTCAAAGCAGGCGCGTTTCTTGGAGTCTTTCCTCAGGTTGCTCACCAGCTGCACGCCGTATTCACCGATATGAAACGAGCCTTTCTGCTGCTTATCTGCCACGGCAAGGACACATCACAGGAAGTATTCAGCATCTGTAGCCGGGATGTTTCTGCATCCTTGAATACATAACGAACCTTTTTCACTCCCAAAGTAGTAAAACACTGTGTTGTTCAGGACACACCAACGCTTTTGCCACTCTGAGCCGAAGAAGCTGTGATCTGAAGAAAGATGTGCATAAAAACTGGATTAATTAAAATATATATATATTTTTTTTTTTTAATTGGGCTGAAGCAATGATACCTTTTCGTTTCTTTTCCAAGTAGCCTTGCTTCAGGATGTTGACGAGATCCTGGGCTCCCACTGAGGGGATGTCGTCAAAATCTGTTGGTAAAAATCAAATTATTCGCCTTCAAACTCCAAATACAGCTGACCCTCGTTTATCGCGGGGGATCCATACCCTGAAGCCCCGCGATAAATGAAAAACCGTGAAGTAGGAATAGTAGTTATTTTATTATTTATATATATATTAAGGTGTTTTAAACCCTTCCCACACTCTTGCAATATTCTAAACAATGTTTCTAAACTCTAAACGCTCTAAAAAAAGCACAGAACGTCATGATTTCCGCTGCTCTTTGCCAAATGAAAGCGCTCTTGGCCACGCCCACTGGTGAACAGCTGATCAGCTGCAGCAGGAACCTTATCCTGCAGTATGGGCTGCACAAATGTTCAGCAAGTACTAAATAATTTAAATTAAATAAAGATTCCATGCCGATTGTGCGGCTCATCCATCTGTAGCCAACTGTGTGTCATGTCCAATCTTATTTTGAAAAACCGCGATAGAGCGAGTCCGCGATAATTATTTTTTTTTTAACGCGAAGTAGCGAGGGACTACTGTACATTTACAGTCAGCTAGAACAAAACAAAACCAGCAACTCTTAAGAACGATCACATCGAATTAAAAAGTTTCAAAACTGTTCTTGATCAATTAGATTAAACAAAATAAAACCGGTTTGGTCAGACGACTAATTCACTGATCAATATACTGTTTCTGCGCTGACGCCAAACAAGCTGCACTTAAACCTCCTTTCCTTCCTAAGGCAACACGTGTACACTCATCAGAATATAAATTCTCAGAGCCCTCTGGATCAAATACAGCCCCGGCAGGCTTCAAGAAACCCGGATCAATACATTTACAGCGCTACGGAGCCCTACAGTCCATTCATCTGCTCACGTAACGATTTAATGAGAGCTACCTTCCAGTGGGAACTCTTCACTTCGCAAACATGAGGACAGCGGCAAAACTCAAAAGCCTTCAAGTAATTAGAGCAGCGGCTGGGAAACGCAGTGCTTTACTTGATGATTTAAACTGGTTGCCATCATAAGAAGCTTCTCTCTCTGGGTTCCACTCGGTGTTTAAGGCTGAACGTCTGATTCAGAGCTGAGCATGACACTTGGACATCATCATCATCGTCGATGGTGCGTCTGGACAGGAGCGCCTGGATCTTCCTACGCGTCAGAAACAAAAGCTGAGCGTCCTCTGAATTCATTCGTCAGCAGGAGAGAAAACGCAGAAGGAACACTTTAAACTCCATTTACATAAGCCAGCATGACACCTCTATTCAGGCCACAGATGAGTCCACCCCCCCCTCCACCCCCACCCCCTCTCAGAACGGGTCTGTTTAACCGCCGAGAGAAGCCAAACATGTCAAACCACAACTGGACCTTGAGACTTAAACAAAGAGCATCCCCTCCAACACTGAGCTAACAGAAGCCTGGGCTTATTCACCAAACATTGCAAACGCGCGCGGCCTTTTACGTCTGAACGTTGATGAAGACACAAAAAGGAAAAGCTGCGCAGTTCAGACGTTTACAACAAACCGACGTGTGACCCGACAAACCTGCGCCGCTTCGGCTTGTGGTTGTGACAGATGAGCGGGTCATTCCAGAGCAGCGCTAACACTCTCACATATCATCAGCCTGCCTTTGTGGATGGACTGACCGGTGACACTATAAGTACAGGGGGTGCTAAGGACTGTTTTGTCAAAGAGAACTTGATTCGGTACATCATAACAAACAGCGATCGTTACGCTCCTCCACCTCATTTGTCCACCAGCAGCCTGTCTGGCTTTTATTCCTTCCTGCCGGCCTTACTTCCCTGTTGCGGCTGACTCCTAATCCCCCTCATCCGTCTGCTTCCTTCGCTCTTCATTTATCTCAAAGGTCGAGCTCAGATAATAGATGAGGAGCTAAAAAAAATCAACACAGGATCTCGCCGAACTGCTCGAGTCAATAAACATCACACATGCGGGCGCGCTCGAAGCTTTATCGCCAGGTGACCTGACCTCGCTCGTGCGTCCCTTTTTGGTGAGAAACTTTTTTTTTTTTTTAAATGGGAGCAAAAGCACGCATATTAGTTCTTGATTCTTCCACACGGTAGCAGCACAACCTAAAAACATATCTGCTCGGTTGGTGCTGCATGATCCCACCCCAAACAAAAGCAGGGTCTGATTGGTGTGGAGTTAAAAATGCCTCCTTTGATGAAAATCACCCGCTAACACCTCTTTGGGACCAATGCAACCTTTAAGTGGATATTTAGAGACAATGTTATTTGAAAATGTGTAATTTAGAGCATTAAATAAACCCAAAAACCATCATGGTGTTTGAGTTTTGAGTTTGAGAACAGACACAGAGAGACACATTAATGCATCTAATTAAAGCCTCATCAAAATCGCAGACAGACGGCACTCTTTCATAAAAATCATAAATTGCGTTATCAATTATTCAGGGCAATGCCGCGACTTCATTTTCATCCCTTTTGCGTTTTAATTAGCACCATCCACAGCTTTGCTATTGACATTAATTTGATGGCAATTTATTGATATTTCAGCATAACCTATTTAGCTGAGTGCAATTACCAACAAAGAGGAGCAGATAGATGCGACGCTGGGCGCCGCATCCCGCGTTTCGTAAATCAAGGTGAGGAGTTGCTGCGGGCCTCGCTAACTGAATCAAACGGTGCTCGGCGGTCATCAAGCAAGAAAAGATTCGAGTCTCCCGATCTCCAAATGGAAAGAAATAATCAATGCAAATATGTGATTCTGACTGAGGAACGTCTCCGTGAGCGAGCCGACCTGTGTGACGACAAGCGATCGGTTCTGCCGCCGGCCCGAGCTCGCGTTAAACTCGGAGAGGGACACACGGCGATGCATCTGAGCTGCCAGCAGTTTGCCACAACCGCAATTTCTCATTTGGTTATTCACACTCCCTCAGCATGGCGTTATGAGCTCAGCAGTTGATCCTGCAAGAAAAAGTTGATTTATGTTAGCATGACCAGAGGGAGTTAATGTATTCTCTCATTAAAATCCACTTTAGTTAGGCCGAAAGTCAATCAAAGGCTGGGTGGAGAGTGAATCAAAATGAAGGAAAATGGTCGAGTGGGAGGACTCGTGTGATGCATTGGACGGTCGTAACGCAACAAAAATGGCATGAAAACACAAAAATGGGCCGAAGATGTTGACGGCTCTCGAGCGGCTCGTCTCTGAGACAGTAGGACGGAACGGGGCGAAGTTCAGGCGAGATTCAGTCACAGCGGGAGCACGCGCCGCCGCATCCCCAAACTAAACATCCCTAAAAGAGTGCGTGGAGAAAAAGTGCCTTTTTATGTTTTCAGTTCAACACCAACACACATCTAAACCGAACTCCTACTGAATTTAAAACATCTGCAACAAAATAAACTCTAATTAAATAGTTGGAAACTGATCCGCCAACACGTTCCATGTGGTTTGGAGTGAGGGAGGCTTCAACAAAATACTCCTTAAAACTGCAGAACGACTTCTTCATCAGAAGATGGAGACCTCCGACTGTGAGGAGACGATGTCACCAGGGCTCGTCATCGCACTCAACGATACGATTACTAATAATATTTGTTCAATTATTCGTTTCCCTTTCATGTCAATAAAAGGTAAAGGTTATATATAGTTATAAATGTGGTAACAGCAGTTTAATCTAAATGGTGATCTGTTCATTTATACATAAAAAACAAGTTAAAGTCGTATCTAGTGTGGCTGACGGACAAACGGATGGAGACTTCTGCACACGTGGAAATAAAAATAAAAAATGTTTCACTTTAATTTTTGAGTAACGCACTGACGTCTTTGTAGATACCTACAATTTTATTGGCATCTTATTTCTGAATGGTTCTTAGTCGCTTGAATTTGTTTTATTTTCAGCCCTTTAAAGTCACGGATGTTGCTGTTATTTGACATTATTTATTATTTATGATTATTCCCTGATTGTATGCCTTTCTGCATGAAAAGCTTCACAAAGTGACAAATAAAAGGTACTTTTGAGAGACGGAGAGCGCGCAGGTTTTATATTGTTGAGACTGTATGAGCAGTGATCTATAAGTGAACATCAAACTAGCTTTTTTTATTTATTTTTTTAATTAAAATGCAAACAAACTCCTAATTTTCTCAAAAAATATTTACTTCCTTCATGTTTGTTATTTGCTATTTATGATGTTTGTTTATTATTTTAGACTTGTAGTTTCAAACTAAAGAGAAACTATATCCTGGTGTAAATTATAAAAAGATCAACTTTATTTATAAGGCACATTAAAATAACCAGTTAGCCAATTAATCCAACAATAACTGCCAAGAAACGATAAAATATCGAAACAGACAAGATCAGAACAAGTAAAAAATACTGACAGATTACTTAAAAAGACAAAACCTTAACTGCAATTAAAAGCTTGAGAAAATAAATGTGTTTTAAGTAATTTAAAAAAAATCTCCATAGATTAGAAACGTTGAACAACAATAGGCTGTTCTACAGTTCTGGCGTTGCAAGATCAAAGATCTCCCTGGCAGACTGATCTAGAACGTGGAACGTTCAAAAGAACCCGTTTAGAAGATCGAAGCTTCGAATAAGAGAAGTTCAGATGTTTCACTGTGGCTGTTCAGAGACTCGTAAACAAACAGAACCAACTCTGTTGCCTGTGAGAACACAGAGGTGGTACCGGCTCGTCTTCTGGTACCAGGTAAAGTTCTGGACCAGCTGCAGACGGGACAACGAAGACGGGCCGATGCCCGAACAGGGAAGTTTGAATAATCCAACGTAGAGGTTGTGACAGCTGTGACGTCACGTGGACTTGGAGCAAACAACCATCAAATGGTCACGTTTTAAAATGACGGTAAATCAAAGTGTTTGTTTCTGTTGAAGTATCGGTAAAAGCTGCTGTGTTCGGCTGCTGTGTTCGGCTGCTGTGTTCGGCTGCTGTGTTCGGCTGC